TGTAGGATCTTCTATCTCAACAGAAAGAGTCCTGCTGGTTTCAATGGCTTCTGGATCAGGTCCTAATCTCTCACATCTAATTACACGCCTGGTAACCTTTTAGGAATGAAAAAACACTTTTTTTAACAGTAAGTGCATTGCTTTCGCTCTGTAATTCAATATTATTTCTGTCCAGTACATTTGATACTTGAAAGTTACTAATTTCTAAACATTTTAAAAGACTAGATCAGCCCAACGCCCCCAGATGTTGCCAGCTTGCCAAGTACTGACACACCAACAAAGCAAGTTGTAGTGTGATTTTACTTTACTTCAGAGATTATCTTGTAATGATGCTGCTGCTGGAAAGTATGGTTGAGACAGTCAGCACTTCCCAGAGTCATTTGGATATGCAAAATCTTCCTGTGTATATATTAGAACATCTCCAGCTTGGCTGGGGAAGCTCTGAGGGCTGGCTCCTTTTATTCATCAGGAAAAAGGCAGCCCAGCTTTCAACTGGAAGCTTTGCTTTTGGTAACTGACATAGCATTATCATCTCTGCTCTCAGCACCACGCTGGGCAAGGATTAACCTTCTGCCCCAAAGGGAAGTTGGAAGCCCTTTCCCCTCCCAACCATCTAATCAAAGCTCGTTTTAATGACTTATAGGTAGACACCTGTTTTCATCTTCACTGCTATAATGATGCTGCAACTTCACTGGGGTGTCTCAAACCTCCCACGTCACTCACAGATGCATTCACACAATACCTGTGTCTCTTCTGCACTTAACCTTCTGCGAGAGATTTGCAAATTGTGCTTATTGAGCAAGCTGACCACGCACCCATTAATCTGCAAAAGGCTACGTTTCAGTAAGAAACCTGTCTGCTACACATCAGTGACACCACAGAAAAGAAACGGTCATTCTTAAATCCCTGGAGAGGAAAACTGTCAATGTGTTACCATTGTTTGTGTGTATTTCAACTACTTACATCAAACTCAGTATTTGAAATTGCCAATTCTGCTTGCACAGCATGTGCCTCTTTTCAGCAGCACATGCCTGTAATTGCCCTGTCATCGTTTGTATTGTATTTACATTGAAGTAACTTGCAGTTTGATTATAAGGATTTTATTTGGAGAAATTTATCTTCTCTGAGTCTACAATATGCAAACAGTTGATGCAAATTGATCTGTCAGCTGCGAGCGCTCACCTCCAACATTGGGAATGACCTTTGATTCTTACTGGGGTGGATACACAAACACCAACTACAAACAGCAGCTGTGACGCACGTGGCTGCTCATCAGAGCGCAATGCGTCAGACCTGCTTTGTCTCTGAAGGGAGAAAGGCAGAAGTACTTTTATCCTGGGCTGGTTTAGCTGACTTCCCTCTCTGAGGGCTGATCTGATGAGGAGGTGCTGAAGCATGAGGGATGCTGCGTGTGGCACCTTTGTAGAGGTTCCTTCTCTTCAAACTGTGCCCGGCATTTATGGGGAAGAGCCATGGAGGCCATGGAGAGGCCTTTAAGCCCCCCTTCTCCTTTCAGTGATTAAAAATACATCACTTCGGCTCTGAGGAAGATGAGTTGAAACCGGACAGTCCATTGCAGGGAGGACCCCTCATCTTTGAATAGCTACTTCCTACACAATGCCTGCAGCTTTGAGCCCTGGCTGGGCTCAAAACCAGGTTAAGACCCCTTTTCTGCTTTTCACAAGGCTGTAACTAAACAGTGTTAAGCTGTAAAACACCCATTTATTTGAAAAACTCCAAATGGACAGCCTTGTCCTCTCAATGTCAGCCACAGATTCCTTCCAGAGCACTGGTTAATCTTTTTGTGGATCCAAACATTTCACCACACCCTTGCTGAAACCCTAATGCCATAAGGAGTTGCTGGAGTTATCCTCAGGCATTCTCCTCTCTTGCAGGCACCTACTTCTGCCTTAACGAGGACACAGCCCATCCTTTACTGGCAATTCTAGATGATGGATTTACAATTGCATGCGATGAACTGGAAAACCTGGAGTGTGATCTGCCTGTCTATGATAACAGCTTTACAAGGTATACAGAAGAATTTCAGCTGCAACTAATGCACGTGGTTTGTGGCTGCTTTGCCCACAACGCACCCCTACCTTGAATTTAAATCCACTAAAAAGGTTTACTGGAACTGCAGCTCTCCTTGCTTTCAAGCCAGGCACCAACCAAATGAAACTTCCAGACTGTATGTGTGTGTATAATTTATAGTGGTTTTTTCCATCTTGGTTTTTGCATAGTGACTATGGTTGTCTTCAGTTTTAGACAACTGCAAATGTCTTTGTCGGTCCTTTTAAAATATGGATTACTCATCTTTTAGAAAATCAGATTTATTTCAAGGTATTTCAAGTTGGACTCCTAAGATAACTATTCAATTTGAAATGGTAGGCTTCCCCCATAGTTCCTTGGAGAGTGGAACTCCATACCCATTTATCCAGGCCCCATAGTTTCACTGTGGTTATCGTTCCTGAGAACCATTACTGAACTCCCTGTGGCTTGCTGCTCTTTTCTGAGAATTTCTAGGGTGACTGATACATATTATCTACAACATCTCCCTTTGCATGATGTGTGCACCGACTTCTATTAAATTCCAAAACTTTCTTCCCATTTAATTCTTTACAGAGCCCAAACCCCCCAGAAAAATATCACAACAACAACAAAAAAAACAAACGAAGACCATGTACTCTTAATACAGCACTAGTGGGATTTAAAAAAAAAAAAAAAAAGGCATAATTATTAGGTTGTCTTTTAATTACAGTGATCCGGCACTTGCACACTTCCAAGACTTGAGGAGCTGCTCCTCTCTGTTGGCTGTTACTCCCTCTCTCCTGCCCCTTCCTTTGCAAGCTGCTGAGGTGACAGAGCCTTGCGCATAATGTGCAGGAGGCTCTGCCCAACCTTCCTTGGTCTCAATTTCACACCTGGAGATTTGGGGCTCTGTCCAATGGAAACCACCAACCACTCATCTTACGTAAAATGTGTTCACTACAGCAAATACTACAGAATGGGCAAAAAAAACCCCCTATTGGTGCTTTGGGCACCTGACCCTCTTCTTTGAAAGAGGCTTGTGTAGCTCAAAGCCCAGTTGGTCTTTTTTTTTTTAAACAGATGCCAGGAAGTGTCTGATGGGGCTTTCAGCAGCTCTCATTGATTTCGTGAGTTTAAATCTCTGTCTAGCTGCTCTTTGGAATGTAAGCATCACTTGGAAGTTAATGCAAGTTCATAAAGAGGATTACAGATGCAGCTAGCCACAATTACGTACAAACCTGCTTACACATTAGGCACCTTCAGCTAAATTTGAACAGGTATTTACATGCCAAAGCAAATGCTAAGGAAAGGAGAGGGATCTGAATACTTACCTCTTGCTGAAAAACCTAGCTGATACTACTTAGGCCTACAGATTTTACTTTCAAAAGAGAATTAGGCCCTTTGCCGTTGAAATGAGAGACTTATCTTGCCAAAATGCATGTTTCCAGTCAGAACCACGGAAACAACATATAACCAGAACAGGCATCTGCAGACACAGAATAATACAAGCCCACAACTTAGTCCCTCCATGGAAATGCAATGTTACTAGAGGGCTCGGTAGAAAAGAGCCAGGAGATAGAAGATTCTCTTCATTAAAGTCATCATGATAAGCCTAAATAGGATTTCATCCCACTTCCACAGGGTGCTTTTATGTTTCACATAAACAGCCAGAGCTGGCACTCATCTCATTCTGAACTCTGAGGCTGAGTTTTTGATGCCACTGTGAACTCTCAAAAGCCTCTTTCATGCCAAGATACTTGGGGGGTTTTTTTGGGGGGGCAGGAAGAAAAAGCTCCCAAGCTGAAATGACTAACACTCATACTACAAGGAAATTACATCGCAAATTCTTTCTGAAGTTTGTGTGATCTCTGAAAGACTAATGTGTTTCCTAACTACAGCAGCTCCTACGGTCTGACTTAAGTTTGCTTTGGTGACTTTACAACTCTCATTACTATGATAATATTTTGTTCACAGATGTTTACCCATCCATTTTGTATCATTCCTTTTCCTTCTCAAGCTGTAGCAGCACAGCCTCTCCAAGTCCAGGTTTCAGCAGACTTTAAGCTATTTCCAAGACATCTACATGCACTTGTAATAAACCGTACACTTGCTTTAAGTGATTGCTGCTGAGGTGGCACAGAGTACAGCTATCTTGCTGTGCATACCCATCCTTACACATCAGGCCCTCCAAACGCTGAGTGCAGCTTATTACCTAAAGGTAGATGAGCTCAGAGTGTCTGCCAGCAACATCCTTTGCCTCTGTAATTTACAACTTTAGATGACCCTAGCACAGAAACATACAGGTTCTGCGTGACTCCCCATCCAAAACTGAAGGTGTGTTTTGAAACCTGTTGTCCCCTGTGATGCAGCAATGACAGCTAATACACCTTGTACTTTTCCTGAGGAAAAACTGGGATGTAGTCTTACAGGATTCATGTTGCCCTCTTAAATCGAGTTAGGGTGTTTCAGAAGCATTTGGCATGAGTTATTTTGCCCAGCTTTCTGGCTTCAGAACCTGTGTTTTTGCAGACTTGCATCTTGAAAGCTCACAGCTCCTTTGACTCTGAGACTGTGCCTGTAAATCAAGCTGAAGGGTCTCTCTGTGGTACATTGTCTTTGTCTGTCTCTCCTACACATCTTTTTAGAGAGTCATCTTCTACGTGGTTCCTACTAGGAACCACAGTCTACTGTTAAAACCTTTCATGGCCCAGGTGCCTAAGCATATTCCAAGCTCTGCTACTATGTTCCATTCTTGCTGGTCTCTCCAAACACAGCATAAGCAGGTCTCCCCCTTCCAAACTGCCCCAGGAGTTTCATGCTGTTACAGTGCTCCATCCCTGATGATAAATGATATGTAAAGCCCTGGGCTGTTTGGGAAGAAAATACAAAATCTGTAGCTTTTTTCCCCTGCTATACTGGGGTTCACCAGACCACTCGCTTTTCTAGCAAATAATAGCTTTCCCAGAAAACCCAGGCAGCACAGGATGCTGTTCTCCCTATTCCTGAAAGAAAGAAACAAATCTACCCGCAGGTAAAAACAGGGTAGGTGTCACAAAGAAACCTGCAGGTTCTGTGTCAGGTCCTCAGCATGTGGACTTCGCTGTAGTCAAAAATCCATGCTGCACTGCTAAGGAGACAGCAAAAGTGGCTTTTGCTTATTAATATGTAATGTCCAGGTACATTACATACCTAAACATCATAAATAGCATTGCAGAGTCCCTGCCAAAGCACATATTCCTGTCTGTCTCCCACAGGTGTATTGCGATCCTGGGCAGTCTAATCCCATTTCCAGGAAAACATTACTGGGAGGTGGAAGTTGAGGAAGATACAGAGTACAGAATCGGTGTGGCTTTTGAAAATACTCCAAGACATGGTTATCTGGGGGCAAACAACTCATCCTGGTGCATGAGGCATATCATCACACCATCAAGGTAAGGGCTGTGGAGGCTACAGGTCTCCTGTAGGAACACCTCCTACACGTACACCTGCAGGCAGAGCAGCAAAGAGCTCCTACTTGCAGGGGGCAGCCAGAGATTCTATATCAAAGCCCAGACCAAGCACTTAACCAGGGGCCTCTGACATTCCGTGAACTGGTGTTAGAAGGCTACTGGAACCTTTAAGCAAGTCCTCCTGCTTAATAACATTCTCACACTGAAATGGGCAGTCCCAGGAACAAAGCTGAATAAAATCTGCATTACAGAATTTAGCTGTAAAGGCCTTGTTTTAGGCCACCAGAACCCCAGTGGGAAGACACGGAGTAATAGATCCATGTAACCTAGAAACCACATTATCAGGCTAAACCCAGTTGTATGCAACTGTTTTTGACCTCTCTCCTACCTGTGGAAGTACCTCACAGCCATACCTGAATGCAGAAATGCCAGCTCCCCTTATGCCTGAGCGGAACCTGCTGGCTCTCCCCCAGACACCGTTACATTAGCATCGTTGCCTTTGACTCCCACGTGAGACCCTGTAAAGAATCCAGGAGCAAGAAGACAAGTCACACCCCCAGGCATCCCCAAGTGTTACCTACTGCCTGTCTGAATGGCTCACCGCTCAGCCGGCAAGAGGTGCCAGGGTGCTGCTGGGTCCCCTTGATCAGGGAGCATCCCAGATACTACCTGAGCATCCCAGCATGCACAGTCAGCAAATGGCAAGGATGGCATAGTGTGGGCCCAAATGGTACACAGGGAGAGGCTTTAGATGCAGCTCACTCGGCTGGAGCACACGCTCCTCCCCAGGCGCCTGCTGCTCTCGGCTCCCCAGCAGTCGGCCCACTGCACAGCCAGAGTCCTTAGCAGTGCTGGCGTTCGCCTCCCACACAGCAGGAAATGCTGCTTAATGAGAGAGACCAAATCCACTAAAGCTAATGACTCTCCCATACATTGCAGGCAGGCTAATTTGATTTCCTTGCTACGCTGAGCAAAGAGGTACACTGAGGTTTGTTCTCATTCTTCTGGAGCAATGAGCATGGACTTCAGAGAGAAAAGGGAGCTGGGCCATTGCTCAGTTTGAGTCACTGTGATACCCATTTCTGCAGGGAAATTTTCTCAGGTTTGAGTGGTGCGGGCGGAGGAGGCGGTTAGTGAAGAAGCTGGCCCTTCTGAAATGCCAGATAACTCACTTCAGCTGAATAAATCTTCTCATTTCTGCTCAGAAAGGCATGTTCCCATAAAAGTCTCAAATTTTTGGCTGCAGCGTGCCACACTAGGGAAAGCTGTTTGAGTAACTGTTGAAGAACTTCAGCATCACTCCAACAGTGACTACACAGAGAAGAAAAGCTGCTTACATACAGAGCGCCTTCCTGGCCTCCACAGTCCAGGAATCACAATTAAAAGACGCCACCCTCTAGTAAATGAGCACGAAGACTGGGACTTCCCCATCAACACCACCCTGGCTCAGCAGGGAGGTCCTGTAGGAAAAGCAGCCAGAAACATCATCAGAGAGTGGGGTTTGAAAAATTACATCCGATAGTCTGGAGGATGCCTAGCCACACTGTGAGTCAGGCAGCCTCTGCCCAAGGGATTCCGCTCCCTCACTGCTGCTGTGAAGGTGGGCGTGAGCAGTTCCTGTAACTTTGGCAGGAAAGAGGGCTCAGTACCACAGGCCCACAAGGAGCAAGTGGGCAGAATGGCAGGGCCTGGAAGGACAGGACCGAGTCATCTCACCAACTCTCTCCTTGGCAGCACCTACAGCTATCTAGGGGCCAGGCTGAGGGGATGACAAGTGGTGTTCTGGGGCAAGCCTAACTGGCCTAACAGCACAGCTCCTTCATGGAGGAAGGGACAACTTCAGGCTAAACCTAGCAGCAAGGCTGCACCCCAATTTACAGGACACGCGCAATGCCCTCTGAGACACAGAAAGAAGTAGGAAGTCCCATGTTGCGCTCTGACCTTGTCCGTATCGAAGGGCTACCACCCCCACTCGCAGCCAGACTGGAATATGAAACAAGAGGCCCGTTACACAGGTTAGGCAGGCAGGTCTGAGCGCTGCGGGATAGGGCTGTGTGGAAGCGCAGAGCACGCCACTCCCCGGCAAACAGCCATTGCTCAGCGAAGCGGATGGGACGGGGGCAGTACCACAGGGCACACAGGAGGGGTAGGATGTGAAGCAGGAAGCATACCCTGGAACACACCCGGTGCACAAAGCGCTTCCCTTTGAGAGCAGCCAGGGTGCCCTCAGGTTTTTTGTCTGTGTTTCTTGCCTGCAGGCACAAGTACGAATTCCTGCACAGCGGGATGACTCCAGACATCAGAATTACTATCCCCCCCCAAAGGATTGGCATCCTGCTGGACTATGAGAACTGCAGACTGTCATTTTTCAATGCAGATATTGCCCAGCACCTTTACGCATTCAACTCACACTTCCAGCATTACGTCCACCCCTGCTTTGCTTTGGAAACACCTGGTATCCTACGGATACATACTGGAATTGCAATACCCCCATGGACTGCCCTCCCATAACCTGCGTTCTGCAGCTGCCACATCTACGTGTAACCTGCACTGAGCAATGCCCTCTTTCAGCATTAACTGCTCCATCGCACTCCCCATAAACCAGCTGTCTCCCAAGAAAGAGAGCAAAGCAACCCTGACCCAAACGAGCTGCCAGGCCTGAGCCCTTATGACAGATTCTGTCCTCTTAGGCAGGATCTTAGCAGAAAACCATTAAGGTCACAAAATCCATCAGTATCCCAGAATTCTCCAGTTAGAAATGGATACTATCCTTCTCAGAGGCGACACTGTCACCAAGCACCAGTGGCAGCTGGATAGCTGGTTCCCCCAGTACCCATCTGATGCCTAGGGAACTCCCCTATTCCAGGGCAATCGCCAATTCCACTCTTGTGTCTGCTGAAGAGCTAAAAATTCAAAGAAAAACAAAAATAGCAAAAGGCACAATCACTGTACAGCTGCTAGACAGAGCTGAAAGCACTCCAACCATGAAGCTGATCTCACAATCAAGTATTCTTGTTGCTACATGAAGCCTGTGACACAAGATAATCAAACATGCCTCCCTTGTGTGTGAACTGTTAGCGCTTACCACACACTTCTTGAAATACCCAAGCATGCACTACAGTCTCAAATATTAAAAGACATTTTTACAAAATGCCCATGCTTCTCATTCATTCATCCAGGGAAAAAACAAAAACCGAACTGAGGCTCTCTGCAGTGCTTGATTGCTCCTACAGAAAAACCTGAAGCATCGGTTTTAGCTTGTTCTTTTTGGCCATGCTCACCTCCACCTGGGTGTATCCTCCACACTCACAGAGCTTTCTCCCTCTCAGCACTGAGGAATTCCCACCCCTCATGCAGTGTCCTTGAAGCTTTGTGTGTCCAGCGGGGGCTGGCCCGGCACTGGGCTGAAATGTCCTTGTGTAGGCTTCATTTCCAGACACCAGCCAATCAGACAGGCACTGCCTGTCTAACAAGCTTGTCTAGCTCTAAACAGCCTCATTCATCTATGTCAAAACTACCTGAATTCAATCAAGAGTCATTAACAGAGAAGCTTTTCCACAGATTTATTGCACATTCATTACAAAAACCATTGGTTCAAGTTTCCATTCTAGGGGATAGTCAGGAACAGGTGGCAGCCTCTACAATACACAGAGCCCCTACAAGTAAACAGAGCCTGGCAAAACTGAAGAGATTTGACGTAGAACTCTGTGCCGAAAGCCTGTCTGTTCTTCCCCGAATAGCTTTAAAAGTCTCCCCAAAACAGGCTTTGCAGAAACCATAAAAACAGGAGCTGAGTATGTCATTACAGCAGTGATTAGTACCATCTTCTCTTGGGTATCTGTTTGTTTTGCAAGCCTCAAAAGACGACAGGTTTAGCGACACTCAGCTATGCAAGTGTCATTTCTTAGCCTACCAGGAATTCAGAATTTCCAGGGCAGAAAGGGTTGTTATGGTCACTTTGTCAGACCTCCTGTAAGGCAGGCCAGTGACTTTCAGTTGCTATGTCTTGCAGCGAGCACAACGACTTGTGTCCAGCAGAAATGGGTGACTCAGCCAGCACCCACTGCCAATGCAGAGGGCAGGAGGTGGCCATGTGAGCCCTGCTGACATTGGCAAGGCCATACCAGAGAACAGCAGCTAAAGTGTACAGCTCCTCTGCCAGGGAATGAAGTGGTGAGATACCATCACCCAAGCTGTAACAGCCACCCCCCCCCCCCCCCCCTTTTTTTTTTCCTTTTGCTTAAAAATGTATGCCTTGATTCCGGGTCCAACTTCCACCCACAGGAACACATTTTACCTTTATCTGCCAAAAATTGAGAGCCACACTCTTCTTTGCAAGTAGATATCTGAAAGCGTAAAACAGGCAAGTATCAGAGCAGAGGTACGATGATGTCTGAACGTCCCAACAAAGCCTTTAATGCAGAAAGACTGCTGGACAACCCCACAACTCTGAGGAAAGCAGATGGCCCGTTGTGAGCAGTCCCACTGCTCCCCACCAACAGCTTTCACCTCAAGTGTTTAAGCCATACCTGTATCCTGGCGCCAGGATTAGCCGTTGACCTCAGATGGTACAAGCACCCAATCCAAACTATTTTTCAACTGGTGAACTGCCCTGGGAGTCCCCAGGATTTCACAACCTTCCCACAGGCAAAGACAGATTTTCTGAGCCAGATGCGAGCCACTCGGACACCCTCGGCGTGGGACTCTACTGGTACCAAACAGCTCTGTCATTACGTTGCCAGCTTGATGAATCTGTTGGAGAATGCAGGCCTGATGGCTGAGCACGGAGCAGCCTGCTCAGCAGAATATGACTCAGTGGTCATTGCCAGGCATGGTACAGGACAGCTAAGGCAGCAACAGAACTATCTGAAAAAAGAACAAATAAGCAATAATTGCTACTAGGTTAAAAACAATGTGGGAAATGAGTTTGCATGTTTCTGTTTAATAAAAGTTTCACCTGTCAGCAATAACCCAAGCATTTCCTCCCTCAGGAATCCCAACCCTGCCACTTAAATATTTATACAGCAAAAGAAAAGGCATGAACAACCTGAATTTTTTAAAACCAGCTGTCACTGTGAATTACCTTTACAAAAATCCTTCAAAGGGAGGCTACCACTTTCATACAGGGTCTATTAATCAGACCAGTACAGCACCCAAGCTGGAAGTTCACATCAACCTCATCTTTCTGTCGAAGTCCACCAGACAGGGGGCAATGCAGTACATCTGTTAAGACACTGAGTAAGGGTCAAACCCTGTACAGAACTGGAAGCTTGTTATTTGACAGTAAATGGGAGTCTCCTACTGAAGCTAAAGGGCATTAACAGGTCCGGCACAGTACCCCGGAGCAGACTAACACCAAGTGTATTCAGTTTATCTGGAATCCTGGCCATAGCACTCATCTTGGAGAATTATGTTGAGCTGTCAATCTGAGAGCTATTTCTTTGCATTGAAAGGTGTCTCTCATGAGGCAAAACCAATTCTCATCTCTGGCCTGTCTACAGGAACTCTGGCTCACTGATGAACTAGATCATGTGAAAGGACAACAGTCAGTTAAAAACAAGTTGTCCTTGTCTCTGACAGCAGGTGATGTGCTGCAAGATGCATTTTTCCTGGCACCTGTTGGCATTTTTCTTCCTGTCCCTTTTTACTATGTGCATTTACTGGCAGACCACAAAATTCATCTTCTGTGAAGGACAGGAGCTCATGCCTAGAGCTCTGGTATTGGCTACCTGAACCCCACAGGCTGCTCTGATTTGCAGCAGCGATCTATGCATCCCTGCAGCTTGCAGCAGCAGGAACTGATGAAGGATGGGATACCCCCAACCACGCCTCACCCAGCAGCTAACTGGGGACTTTGCCAGGGCTGCCCAAAGGCCCTTGGGCTTAAAAGGAGTAACCCTCAAACCGCTTTAGGCTGGGCAAAAAGGATCATGTTTTCCAATTCCCTTCTGTTCCCTCTTGATTTAAAACATGTTATTGCCACTGGAGGGCATCACACAAAGCCCTTTCACAAGGCTGCACCGGTTATCCGACTGGTTTACACAAACAGTCTATGGCCAAACAGAGAGTTATTTTCCAAACTGGTTACCATAATCCTCCAGCACATCCAGTGTCCCTCCTCACCCAGCGCTGGAACTGGGAACAAAGGGACCTGCGGGCCTGTGAGCAAAAACACACAGGTCAGACAATGTCAAAAGCACAAATACAACACCAAGCAACACAACAGCCCTGAAATACGGTTTAGTGTGTTCTATTCAAACCAAAAACACCCACCATTTTCTACAGAAACACCCGACTTTTAACTTGCTCCCTCTAACTGCCATTAAAACCTTGTAGGTAGACGAAGCAGGTCCTGACTTTATCTCACAGGCAGGCCTTGTTCTTCCACCATTTAATTTAGGAGGATAGTATCAATGGAGTCAATATAATGTCACTGGCTCCACTTTCTTAGTCCTCCAGATGAATCTCCCTAAGAAACTCCTGGGAAGTGTCAGGAACTGCCTGTGCTCCCCTAAAGGAGACTGTAGAGCCTAACCACCCAGCCTGCCCTCCTGACCTGGAAGGCAATTCCGTATTCCTGCCCTCAAACTCGGCTGTATCGTCGTAACTCCCCACTTCTGTTTTCCAACAGCAGCCAGTATTACTCGCTAGCAATGCACTGCAAAGCAGCCAGGGACCACGCTAAAGGTGAGGCTCTGCTTCCCGGTCAGTTCAGCACCTGGACTCCCCCGACTCACTGCACAGTCCTGGGACAGCCCAAGACACAACACTGACTTTTTGTTAAATTTTCTCTCCGTTGCATTTGTGCTGTGCGCAATTGCTGGTACATATTGGGAGTCGACTGTCCCGGCCCCAGCTTATTTAAACGTTTTCCAAGCAGGCTTACGTTTTAAGCTTTAGATATGTAAGCAATACCGAGGCTACGAACTGCTTCATAAAATGGCCGTCAAGGGGCCGGACTCTCTGCCAAAAGGGCGCTAATCCCACAGCTGGAGCCGAGTAAAAGTGTTTTTCTGCAGATGCAAAGCTATGGCTTAAACACGGCACCAGAAAGGCGGCAGCAGCGAAGAACGGGGTCTCAAGCTACTTCATAAAGCCAAACCCACCGGCAGCCCCTCCTCACGCAGGGCC